AAAGAATATTGGACAACCCCCATGTGGTTTTCTTTGTTGGCTTGCTTGTACACTAGATACCACCCCGTATACTTGTAGTTGCGAAGATGTAGTTTCAAGTCTTGTTGTTTTAGCTGTCATGTAAGTTGTTTCGTCTTGGATGACTCCGCGAGCAATTACCCTTCCCCCGTTTGTGAGAATCTATTTGTACAGAATCGCCTTTTTCTTGATCACGACACTTGGCTTAATTTTCGGCATCTTTGACGCATGTATGTCTCGGTCTATGAACTCAACATTTCTGCAATCTTGACCAACCAAAAACTGCAGTCACTGGCTTCTACACGTTTAGTAATGTCATAGCAAGCTTTAGCAGGGACTTCTTCAAAATTCTCTTTCAGATTGAAGTCGGAAGCACTGCCAACGGTCAACGTCGTTACCTGCTGCTTAGCATTTGCGATTGGGCACATCACTGACTACCTGGGTTGTCTCAAAAAATGCTGTGCCCGCTTAAATCTGCTGAAGCCGGCAAAACAGCTACACCCCGCTAAACCGACTAGTGCCCAAGACTTTCGATTGTGCCCCTGGCGAAACTGCATTAGAGTCCTCCTGCGAGCACACCGGTTCTCGGGGCATTCATGCCCAAAGCAGAACGATTTCCATCTTGAAAAAGCATTCATTGAGCGCACAACCAAAACTTCAGCCCATTGCAGCGCCCGGCTGGAATTTCAGCTTATTCTAGCCTGGATGGGATTTCAGCGCAGCCCATTCCGGGGCAGGCCCAAATGCACTGACCGCACCTGCTATCTGCAATGTAAAGGCGTTCGCCTCTACTGGGCGGGGGGAGGGGCTTAGGTGGGGTGAAGCCTGACACAGCCTTGCTATGGTCATGACACTTTCTGCGGGTCGAGACGGAGACCTCACTTTTTGCAATTCTTGAGCATGGCCATACTGCGTCTTTCCCAAGTTCTCGCCAGTTAAAAAGAGGACGCCAGCATGCCCAGAGTGGCATAAAAGCTGGTTCAATCCCCATGCTGACTGGAAGTTTCTGCGTGATTGTACGCTGTACGCGGCATCTTGATTGTCGACTGCTGTCGAACTAACACGGCCGATTGATGTGGACACCCTCGTATCAATCATGCGGAACTAGCACTGACACAGAGCTCTTTCTGCCAATTTTGCCGTGAATGCATCTTGATCATTTCATACTGCTGTGTGACATTGTGTAAGTTTTCTCTCGCAGATGCGGTTGTTGCTTCTTAGTGTCGTTCGAATTGCTTGCAACAATGGATGGGCCTAGTCTTGCCAGATGCCTTTAGCACCAACATCGAACGAAATGGTCGACTAGCAAGCGAGAAAGAAACACTTGTTACAGTTTTTCCTCACAGGAGAGCATCACCATTCCCTAATAGTTCCCAAGGTTCCTTGCATGATTGGTCGGATCGTCTCGGTCCCGTAACAGGGAGGATGGACGCCAGACGGACTTGGAAACTGTTATTATCCGAGGTAACCATGGAACTTTACATGAAGACTCACGCTGCAAATAAAACACTTGTTAAGCAAGCGTTCAACTGAAATCAGAGAAGAGTCCGGGAGATGCTGCGAGGATTAGAGGTTGAGCAACGACATGCTCCAGTTGTGGGCTAAATGAAAACACCGACAAGGAAGATGCCATTGCAAGGCTTTGAAAACCTAAGTCCATGGCACACGTTGTTAGAGTCACTTAACAAACACCTGAAGACCTATCAAACAGAAACGAATACCCGGTGGTGAGTTCTTATCCACGGCAAGGCACATGGGAACGATAGATTGACGATAGATTGTAGCTAACGAGGTAAAGATGTTTCAGTTGACCCGGTACAAATTTAATTGTTCGCAAGAGGCAGAGAACTCACTGAAGCACAACAAGAAGAAAATAAGCCATGACAGAAATGCTGTAGAGAAACATGACTTAGTGTTATTCTTCGGAAAAGGCAAGGGAGTTAATGGGCAAGCTTTTGAGGCTAGATGGTCAGCAGCACTTGAGGCAGTTGCCAAAGAAGCATCAGTGAAGAGTGCTAAAAGTCTGTAAGATGTCACACTTATCTTAGTTAGCTCCATGAGGACATGTCAAACTCATTTATAGACAGGTTGCTGAGAAGGAATAGCAGAAGAATGATGATGACGATGACGATGACGATGACGATGATGATGATGATGATGATGATGATGATGATGATGACTGTGACGACGATGATGAGCATAAGAATGATGATTATCATTTAGTAGTGGAAGGTCTGTAGTTCAGCTGCCAGCGGTTACGATGCTGAAGCGATACAGCGTGACAGACGTGACCAAAAACATCAAGCGAATGTCACAAGACTGGAATTTCTGGGGTGTGTTTTGTTCGTGAGGTTTGAGATTTCCGAAGATTGGGCATAATTTTGTGGTTCATAAAACAGGAGGACAAGATGACCCCAACTTTGGATTCTTCAAACAGCGCAGCAGCTGCAGGGCTACTTTGGTATCTCGCAGTTCATCTCTGACAGACGTTGCTCAAGCTGCTGGCGAGGCTCCGACAGGAAAACAAAATCTAACAGCCAACACAGAGAGCCGAAAACGAAGTGGCTTACTTGAAGATCTCGGCAGATTACGGTACGCAAGCTCACTAATGCTACGGGCCTGCCTGCTTTACAGCAAGGAGAGTCGGCTGGCGGCTAGAGGCAGGGTTTTAATGGCCAGTTCTGCGGGGGCAGGATTGCCTTGAAAGTGCGCCGCTGCGAACAGTCTTGTCTCCCCCCCTATCTTAAGTCCACGCATTTCTTCTGACAATGCCGCACTAACCTCTCACTCTTGTTTGGGCTGCAATGCACAGCAGAACCTTGCAAGAGGTGTTGCCATGCGTTCTCTGCAACTGCTGCTGACCATGCCGACAGCAGAAACATTTGGCGACCAAAGCTCAAACAAGCGCAGGGCAGCGTGAAAAATGCAGGTCCTAGGCAGTGAGTTGCACAGACATACGTAATGTCTGGGATGCTTGTGAAGCTGTTGGTACTTGTTGGGCAAGTGCCTCTGTGGGAACGGGCCAAAGACATCCATACATATACGACCTGAAGCGTGGCATCACACCATGTGGATATTGTTTTGAATCAGAACCGCCACGGCAAGGTGTCGGACTACAGCCTTCACATCACCAACTGCTTCGCGGTACCTTTTGAGGAAGATCCACGAGATCCACAGGCTCGCCTAGCTCTTGGAAGCCTGAGCTCACGCAGCCTCAGACATCTCGGAAGGTGTGGTTTCTAGACCACAACTATCATGAAGCCATGTTCGCCATGTTCAAGAAGGCAGGGAAGAGTTGCCTGGTCTCCACACCTTCTCTCAGATGGGATCGCATGCGGCCAGGTGAACACAAAAGAGCGAATAGTTGGGTGGTATTCAACAGGACCCAAGATAAAACCATCTGACCTCAGCATCCACGAGCTCTATCGACGGTGCCCAAGCTAGATGCCGTCATCTGCCTGGCTGGCCATGCCAAGCCAGCTGGTGTAGAGTGCCAGGTACTGCCCAGAGCCAGTGCTGGTGGTCATGGACGTACAGCCGAAGGTGGGATGTGAATGATGCGGAGCAAGCTTTTCAGGATCTGTTTGCGCGTTTCGGCCAGGACTTGGAGTTGCCCATGGAAGCGTACTATTCCGTTCAGGAGCAGACCTCGGATGAGGTGTGGGCTTTCCAGGGCGGAAAGTCTGCTGAAAACGCATCTGCTTGAATTTCTTTGCAGCTTGCCAGGTTTTCAAGCGAACGTTTCTGCATGTGCACTCCACTGTTGGAGCCTTTGAGGCGAGCTCGTTTGCATGTTGCAGTTTCTCAGAGGTAAATGCTTCTGCGGCAGGCTGAGGAGGTTGGCGTCGAGCACTTGCTGCGTGACATCAAGAATGCGTCAAGCTCTTGGATTTTTCCAGTGCGGTATATGCGCTGCAGCTAGACTTCTTCGTGAAGTGCCTACTTACCTCATGTTTCTTACCATGCATCGATCAGCTCAGCGGATGATTGTCTGCCTTGCTGTTCGTCAGACCTGGCAGAATTTTGCTCCTCCAGCCAACCCCAGGCCCACCACAACACTAATCAGCTCACCAACATTGGAATTGTACGCGACACTGGGCCGTTCAGCCTCCTGATATGTTTTCGCGTTCGATATCCTTATCAACGTGCGCCCACTTTCACATCATCGATTGATTGACATGCTCAGATCAGCATCTACTCTGGCTGTGCGCGTTGGGGACAAGATCGGTGCACTGAAGGCACGCAAGTCCGAGTCTTCAGGGGAATTTTGTTCAATGCAGTGTTGGCTCAGTATGGCATCGAGCTTTGACGTGCATTGTCAGGGCTTGGCCATGCGACTGCGCGAAATCTCACAGTATTTGAGCCAAGTGGTAGCGGGGAAGCTCCCAATGAATCAGGCACAGTCAGCATATGTGGTCATCTGAACTTGTGTGTTCTGGGTTGGTTGCCTCCAGGAGATCATATACCAGTTGCAGGAGATCTTTAACCTCATGCCCGACCAGGATGCAAGCCTGCGTTGGATAGCTGGTGCCTGCAGCCGGCAGTCTTGCTAGAAGCACGGCGAGCGAATTCGCAGGGATGCGGTTCATACAAGTCTTCGGTTTATTCACATATTGTGCTTGAAATCAGTGTTCATGCTAAGGCAATTGTTTCCAGCGATATGGCTCAAACAACACATCGCCTGCCAAAAGCAATTTTCAACAGTTGAAATTAGATTTAAACCCCGCCTCGTTGGTCAACATGGCGCCGCCACAGATATTCTACATGAGCACAAGTTAAAATGGTAACGGGGATTCGTTTTGCCAGGATCGCCTGCCTGCAGGGGGTCAGTTTCGTGGCAACTTTTTTGCTTTGACTCCAAATATGGTCGTTTGTACCTCTCCGAGGAGTCTAGGCACCATGTCGATCTTGTTTTTCTTCGATTCTTACTTTGCATACTGCAGCCCGCTACGCGGGTTTAGCAGATGGCAAAAGTGCTCCTGCACGGAAACTGGGCAAAACAACAGGTAGAGGGGTCTCTTGTCACTTCTCCCGGGGGTCGCTTGTAACCTCTCAATTTGGGTCGCTTGTGACTTCTCGCGCAAAGCAGAACTGTCGTTCCTTTCGGACTTGTGATTCCTCGACACCTTACAGTAGCAGGCTTGTGCTCCTTGTAAAATGCGTAGCAGTCATCGTTTTTGGGTTTGTGATTCCTCGACACTTGAATGTTGTGTGCGTGTGCGCCTCGTAAAACGCATAAGTGTCGTCGTTTTCGGAACTTTGATTCTTCGACCTTTGGTAGTTGCGGTCGTGCTCGCCTTGTAAAATCCAGAAGTGTCGTCGGCTTAGGATTTTTGATTCCTCGACCCCCTACTCAAACCGTGAACCCTAACGCTGGACTCCACACATTTGACCTTAATCGAATATTCATGCATTTATTTCCCGGAAAAACGTGCCCTACCTGCAACACCTATAAGCCCAAAAACCTTCACCCTAAATCGTTGAAGTCTTGGACCCCGAACCCCAACACAGCAAACATTGACCCTGAGGGCCAGTTTTCAGGGAAAAATCACGCATTTATTTCCCGGAAAAACGGGCTGCACCTCATAAACTCACGCCCCGAGTGGTGGAAACCACAGCCCTTGGCCTCGTCAACCAGAATCCAATCCCTGAACCCAAGCCCAACACCCTGAAACCTGACCCCGACTAAACCCTAAACCCCCCAAACCCCAAAGCGTGAACCCTAAACCCCCTGACCCTAAACCCTAATCCGTGAACCCTAAACCCTAAAAGGGGAATGTAGCCTGAAATCTAAACCCTAGATACCCGTAACTGAGACCTAAACTTGATACCCTAACCTAAGCCTGCCCTGAACCTTAAACAACTACAAACCCCCACCGTGAAAGCCCCTCTTAGACCCTAAACCTTGTCCCAAACCGTAAAACCCCAGAACCCCTAAACCCCCTAACCCCAAAACCCTAACCCCAAACCCTAACCCTAGAAAACCGTGTTACCCCCAATCCCTAAAGGCTAAACCCGAAACCCTAAAGCCCTACCCTAAACCCTAAACCCTAAATCCTAAACCCTGCACCCCAAACCCCCAAGGCGCTATTTGCTGAGACGTGTCGCAAATTCGCGTTTTTGACACAGAGAAATCGCCTGAACCCTACACCCTGTGACCCTAAGCTCTAATCCCTGAACCGCAAACCCTCCGCCGTGAAACTAGCCCTAACCCTAAACCCTGGAGGTTCGTGACCTGAGACTTAAACGTTGTTGAAGTTCAGCCCTGGACGGTACATCCAAAGCCTATAAGACCTGAGCCCGAAACAACCATAAGCCCACACCGTGAAAGGCCCCCCTATAATCCCTGAACCCGCAAGCCTAACCTTAGACCCTAAGCCCCAAACCCTGTCCTAAACCTAAACCCCCTAGCCCTCAACCATAACCCTCAAGCGTGAGGCGTTATGTGCTGAGACGTGTCGCAATTTCGTGTTTTTGAGAAGGAGAAGTTGCAAGTGATCCCTTCGAAAAGAAACACCTTGGAAAGCAAAGTAGCATACCCTAGCACCACGTGTGGTAACCATGAGAAACTGCTCATGCAGCGTCCAGATCCTTAAGGTGATAGGCGGACCTACGAGAAGGTACATGCTAGCTGGTAGCATTAGAGGCATCCTTGGGATCCATTGGCAGTCTGCTTTTCCCATTTTGCTCTCCTGTACTGTCCCAACCTTCTTTTTCAGCATCATTGTGAGCTTCAGCCAAGATGGCTTACAACAAAGCATGTGGTCATGAGTGCGGTGGATTGCAGCAATGTGTGGGGGAAACTTAAGAGCGTGGGGCACTTTCTGTCGCATGCATGTGGAGGGCCAGCTTGAGACACAGGGACTCAGTATGTCTGCTGGGCTGAATTTTATCAAATCCAGCGGGCAGGCAATCACGGGGATATCATCACACCACACCCCTTGAACCCAATTGCCCCGTAAACGCTGACCGTCTGCAAATCCAAAACTTGCTACCACGAAGCTTTGATATAAAACTCTGGATATTTCTAAGCCGATCAGCTCTCAGCGCCAACCTCAGACAGCACGTATGGGTCGTCGGCGGTAGCAAAAAGAGTCACATGTCCTAGGCCGGTGAACCTTCAAGCAAGAGACGTCGGCGAAAGCCGGTCAAACCTTAGCCGCCACTGCACCAGGACTCAGAGGAGCTGATCAGATCACTTGCCACGGAAACAAATGATATGATGCCTGAACCTCAGACATGTGTGTGGCGTTTTGGGATGCAGCCATGTGCCGCAGCATGAAACGTCACGGCATGTAATCTGTTGCAGGCTGGCTCTGTACCTCGGTAGCATGCTCCGCTCGACCGTGGCGCTCCACAATCTGATCAACAATAAAATGAGAAACAAACAGCAGAAGGCGGGCAAGACGCAGCTGGGCCCTTCCGCTTGCCCTGCGTTCGGACTTAGATCTACAGCAGGAGAAAGCTGCGGAGCCAAAGGACCTATGCCTGCTTTCTATGGGCCTTGGAAAGTAATTCAGTTACAGCATACCACCAGCATGCCACTCCACGGTTTTCTTGACTTTAGCCGAGACGCCTGTCCGAATCACAGAGCCTTTTGGAAGGACAAAGAAAAGAAGGAGGAGGCAAAGAAAGAAAAGGAGGAGGCCGGGCATGCCTCATCCCCTCTTGTTCTTAAACGTGTGCAGATGTGCAGGGCAAGTGAGTGCTTCTGTTTAGCCCGCGAGCTCCTCATGTCACCTGGAACTCCTTCTCACGCTGCAAGACCCTGCACTATTGTGCGGAAAAGTCACACTGATGCTTCATGGATCTTCTGAGCTGTTGCTCAATGCGCAGTTGACATGTGTGGTACTTCGCGCTGATTTGTGTGCGGCTGGCTGGTGCCGACAAGCTCCACTCAAGCAAAGATGTCGATGCTATGCAATATGCCTTTGGCTAGTGTTAAACAGAACAGAGCATCCAACAATTAACTTCATGCAGTGTGGTCTCTCATGCTTGCAGCTCACAATGACGCAGATGCCATCGGCAGGCTGTCTTGCGTATGGTGAGTCACCCGGCTGACGCATGCTTTCCACATGCGATGGTTCAAGGTCGCATGAGCTACGTGCCGCCCTCCACAAGGCTTGGAGAGAGTGTAGATTCAGTGATCAAGTGCAGATGAGCATCCAAAAGGACATGTCCCGCGCAAGATGAGTTTGACAAGCCCCTTTCGCTGTCCCTGATGCAGATGCAATGTATGCCGCCTGTTGCCGTGGGCTCACGAGGCGAGACGATTGTTTGATGTGTGCAAACATCATGCTTTGGCAAGCTGAATGGCAGTTGAGGTGAGGCCATGGTACACGCGAAGGCTTCTGCTTTGCTCTGCCCATTCAAGCTTGAACCGAATCAATTCCGTGTGCAATCAGGCCTCCCAAAACCTGGCAACTTCTTCGGAGAGCTGCAGACGGCGAAAGAGCAGAGGCCTGAACCTTGATTCAAAGCATACCTGCACTACTTCTTGCCCAAGGCAGCATCGCTTACGCCTTTGGCTGAAGGCCGCAGACTGCCTTCATAGGCTATTCATGAAATCTCTGGAAAATCCACAGTCTCATCCTTGCTGTATCAACTGAGAATCTTGCTCCAGTTGCAGATAGGGCAAGCAGGGTTTGTGCATGTCAAGATGAAGACTCTCAGCTAGGGCTGTAGCTGCCATTGTCATGGTCACCTGGTCTGCAGCTCCATGAAGGGACCATGAGCTGGGTGGTCACTCTCCAATCTGGAGCCCTAAGCTACAGCAAAGGCAGACCTAGGTCTGGGAACCTGCTTGGATTTTGTGCAGGAAAGAAGCTGCGTGGAAGAGGAGTTGGACGCGTTTCAGGCGCTGAGCTCGCATGAATTTCCTCTTCAAATTATGCAAGAAGGATCCCTGACCAATAAATGTTGAATGCTCTTGACCTACGAGCTGTTACGCTTTCTGAGCGGGAGGTTCTCGTGCGAAGTCCCTGCCCTTCAAGCAGAAAAAGGACATCCAACGCAGCCCGCAGGAGAATGAAGGCCATCAATCCGAGACTCATGTTGCGTATGCCTTACCTTTCTCATCATGCATGAATTTCTGGGCAAACCCACTTCAATAGAACAATGCCGAGGGAACATCGATGGAACCTTCCCTTTCAAAAGCCCGTTACATACGACAACGGGCACTCTTGCTATCTAAGGTGTTAGCCTTGCTTTGTCCTCCATCCTTGTTCGGGTGCGCGCAGACTTTAATGACTTTTGTCCCTCCCATGCCCATGCGAAACTGTGACCAGACTTACATGAAGTCAGTGCAGCAAAGTCAGGCTCAAGGCCCTGTTGCAAAGGCAGCAGGCCTGTAAATATGGGAGGGCGCAGCCCGTCATCCTGGCCACAGTTTTCCTGATCGTGCAAGAATGCAATGGCAGGATCTGTTCAGCCACGGCTTCTCGAGCGAAACACGACAGCGGCACCGCCTGCGGTTTCGAATCGCCTTGAATCAATAGATTTCGACATCTATGAAAGCCAGCACATATCAGAAGGCGGAAAGCCAAGACCCTGCGGCACTGTGATGAGGTGGGCCATCGTGTCCACAATCGGCATAGCGACTGGTTTGGTGGCTTGCGGAATTGATTACGGCATCGAGATATTGACCAAGCTGCGGTTTGATTTGATTGAAGGTTTGGTCAATAGCGGAGCGGAGCAGTGGGTTTTGATGATTGTCCATTTGCTACTTTGCGCGGCCCTGGCTGCAGTTGCAGGAGCTCTTGTTTGCTTCGTGTCACCGCTGGCTGCAGGAAGTGGCATCCCTGAAGTGAAGTGTCGTCTGAACGGTATAAACTTGCCGCTTGTGGTTAGATCAAGGACGCTTCTTGCCAAGGCCTGTGGGGTGCTGTTCAGTGTCTCTGCAGGGCTCCCATGCGGCAAGGAGGGCCCCATGATCCACAGCGGTGCAATTATTGGAGCACTCTTCTGGCGATGCATGCCTTTGGGATCGAATGTCATGGGTGACATTGAGCTTCGGGATCTGATTGCAGCTGGTGGCGCGGCAGGCTGGACAAGTAAGCGTCAGCGGTGAGCATGTAAGACGTATAGGTGTTGTAGGGCCTTTTCCTTTGTGCCCCTGCTTCAGTCAGGTGTCGCTGCAGCGTTCGGTGCTCCGATTGGTGGCATGCTGTTCGCCATGGAGGAAGGAGCTTCCTTTTGGAGTGCCAAGGTCCTGTTGCAGGCGCTGCTAAGTTCCTGCACCTCCGCCATAACTTTGAACCTCTTTTTGGGAGGTTTGGACTCAATCGGATTTGGAACCCTTGGTGCTCTCGGGGTTCTTACCTTTGGCGATTATTATGAGACTGCAAATACAAGCTATCATATTTGGGAGATGCCCTTCTTCGCAGCACTGGGGCTTCTTGGCGGTCTTTTAGGCGCAGCCTTCAATGCCTTGAACGTTCCACTGACATTGTGGCGGATGCGAAGAATCGGGGCTTCGGGTTGGGCCCGCTTTCTGGAAGTGCTCTGCGTGACTATTTGCATATCTGCTGTATTCTTCGTCCCGGCCATCATTGCACACAAGTGCTATGTTACTGATGTGGATCAAGGTTCGCATGGTGACCTTGCAATGGTCTGCAAGGAGACCAAGGCCAAGCAACAGGGGTTGGGCCTGTTCATGACACCCAGTGAGGATGCCATCAAGGTTCTTTTCCATGATGCACAGGTTTATGATGCCAGACTGTTAGCTTTGTTTGGAATCATCTACTTCTTCTTGGCATGTTGGACTTATGGACTTGGAGTTCCAAGCGGACTCTTTGTGCCGTCTCTTCTGGTGGGAGCTGTCTTCGGGCGTCTTGTTGGGCAATGCTTGCGGCTGCTGAGCGATAAAGTTGCACCACCGGGAATGTACGCTCTTGTTGGTGCCGGTGCATCTCTGGCAGGAATGGCACGCATCACGGTTTCCCTAGCTGTCATACTCATCGAAGCGACTGGGAACACGCAGTACTCTCTTCCGCTTCTTTTTGCAGTCGTTTTAGCACGTGGCGTTGGGAATGCTTTCAACGAAGGCATTTATGATATCCACATACATTTGAAGAACATTCCGTTTCTGCCTGCTGAGCCAGACATCCTGGATACTGCGCTGGTGTCTAGCGTCATGACAATGGATGTTGCGGCTGTCAGCAGCATCGAAAACAGATCTCGCTTGATCAGTGTTTTGGAGACACCGCACAATGCCTTTCCAGTAACTGAGCCCGGCACGGCCCAGTATTGTGGCATGTTGAGTCGCTCTGCGTTAGTAGACCTTCTGGGTGACAGAGACGGGCGGGACCAATCGGAGGGCGGACTGGCCCAAGCAACCTCTTTCCTTGGCCAGCAGTCAGAAGTGGACCTGAAGCCTTATGTGAACGTAGGAGCCTACAGCATCGAGGACACTGCAACAGTCCGTCGTGCATACGCGCTCTTTCGGACAATGGGCTTGAGGCACTTGCCAGTCGTCCGGCATGGTTGTAAGCTCTGCGGCATCCTCACACGCAAAAACTTCTATGATAACGGCAGGGCATGAAATGTGGAGCTGGACACGTGGCAGGTTAACGTTTACGACTGACCATGCTGGCCCATGGGCTACACCAGACGGCCTCAAGAGCTTTTCCTCAAGGGCAGGATCAGAAGCGCTGCCCACTGGACTCCAAGCAATCTGACATCTTCTGCTGTAGTGTAGACACGAAGGAGACGCCTTCATGACGGGCTCTCGTCATAACAGCCGTCAGGGCTCGCGACCTGAGGAAGAGGGGCCTGTGCCAAGGTAAGACTCACATCAAGACCGTCTTGGTGAAGATGCAGCTGCGATAAGCAATAGCCGCTGTTGCTCGTGCATGGTGTTCTTGAGGTTCCGATTCATCACATAAAACCAATAAGCGCACTCTCTCGGGTTGCAACAACATTTGGCCGCCATTGTGTATTGAACCATGTACCCTTGTCAAGCCCGCAATGCCGCCACACAATGTAATCTAGGAAGCTCGAAGACAGAGCTTCCCAGGCAGTTCGAGCGCGCCCAAAAAAGCACCACGCCCCGATGCATGATGCGCAGGCAACGCGCTTGGACAGATTCTGTCTGTGTGCCGCCGCCAGCCTTGTCGTCCACTTTGTTTCAGTGGTGAGTTGTACTCATGCCAGGCTGCTTGCTCTTTGGCTTGGAAGATTTGCCCTTGAGATGAGTCTCTTTGGCAATCAGGCACCTAATTGCCATGTAGCCTGACATAGTCTTGCTACATGATATCTTGCAGTCTCTTTGTCGTGAGGGCACCTACTATGTCAGCAGCCGCTCTGTCGTTATGACGACTGCCTGCTTCTGAGTTCAAGGATTCGCCTCTTAGTCATGCCAGCCCGCCATGAGGAGGTCCAGATGATAGAATCAAGAAACGTTCTTTGGGCACACTCGCAGTCACTGGGCCTTTGGTGTCTTCGGCTCCTTGTGTTCAGAGGAACATGTTGCAAAAGTTTGCTGGAAGCTGAGACGTGCCGCATGAGTTTTGTTATCGGGCGTCTGCAAGAGGCCTACACTACACAGCTTGCAAAAAATGGGACCCGGGCAGGCATTCTCTAGATGATGAGTCTTCCTTCGATTGAACCAACCAAACACAAGTCACTACTGTTGAGATGTGTGAGAATCCCATGACCTCCAACTGTTCAATCAATCCCATGTTTGCAGTGCTGCAGCACCTGTGCCAGCATCACGTCATGTTTCTGATTGCTACTTGTGGTCCATCCAACTGTATTGCAGTGTCATGGTAGATCACTCACCTTTCTCACTTGGGCCAGTTCATTGTTGGCAAACCTCAGGTCACACAAGGCGGGCAAGCGACCACGAGCATCCAGGAGAACTCGCAGGTACGGACAAATCTGGTTCCACCATTGACATCTGCTCAGTCTGCAGCTGAGCTTTGGCGTGGAGGGCTTTCATTCCGCTCATCGTGGAATGACCATGTCTGGCTACCAACTGAGGAAATAGACTTCAAGGCTGCGGTGGTGCAGCCGAGTCCCCACCACAAGGTTTATCAAAGAGAGAATCGCAGCAAGAGGCATCACGCTCCAGCGGGCTCGTGTAAATGTCGTCTAATGGACGTCATCTGCCCGCAAGACCTTGTGCTCTAAGAGAGGGCAGGTGAGGCATTGATGGCAATCAGACTTCGGACTACGTCTGCAAGAGTCGGGGCGGAGCTTGCGCTTGCTGAGCCTACGTGAGCCGCACCAACTGCCGCAGAGACCAAGACTGCCCTCATTAGCAGCAGCCATAGCGAAGACTACTCTGGCAGCAAGACTGCGCGAAACCGCCGGATTTAAAAAGATCGATGTGCATCCAGTTTGACATTGCATTGTGGGAAGTTTCATGCAATCTGCGCAGTTGCTAGTTTAGATTGACGTGAGAGGGGACCGTTCTGCTTTTTGACAGAAGTGGCAGCGTATGAGTCAAGTTCTCACTTATTTCTGCAGGGGCTCAAGCAGCTGGCGGTCAACAACAACCACCATGCTCTCACAGACGACCGTAAAGACACTGAATCTCGCTTAACACTGACAGTGCAAAGGGGTCTGTTACTGTGACTTTGAAAAATTCCAAGGTGAATATTCTACACGTTTTGGGCCTGCTCTACCTCCATGGCGTTCGGAGTTACCTATGTGAGCAGCTTTGAAACATAGTTCCTGAGAGTCCTGAAAAGCTACCCTTGGTGCAAAACCTCACATCAAATCTTGCAAGTTCTGCATGCACATTCCCGCCAGCATTACACTCCTCCTGGCAATGTCAGGCAGTGCGGCTCTTTTGTGTTAAAGGGTTCACCAAACGCACTGTGCGCAGGACAAGATAGTAAGTAAGAACATATGGGACTTGTGCAGTTTTCCTGGCCTTCCCAGAACTTGGTTGTCCAGGTCAAGGTTCCGCTTCAGTGCTTCATGAAACGCGATTGCTGATTGAATAGACCTTTGCACTCTAGTAGACATGTCAAGGAGCAACAGAGAAAGCATGAACGCAAACAAATGCAGCCGGAATATGCATTCATGCACCTTGCCTTGGCCTTCAAGCACTTACTATCTGATCGCTGCTGAGCCAAACTTTGCACTCTGCAAAAAAGCTACAGAAGCAGCCTGCTCTGCAAGAATGCGCAAGCACGAAACCTGAGCAGAAATCTGCAGGACGCAAGCGTCCGTTGTATGTTGGCCCTGCATTTCAGATTGGCTTCTAGCCTCATGTCAAGTATGGTAGCATGTGCACTAGTGTGTTTAATTCACTTGGGCATACAACGCTGGGTTGTCTTCTTTCTTCCAGTACATTCGGAGGTGTGCCAGACAGGGGCGAGAGTCGTTCTGTTCATGTTAGGAAGAGTCGACGCATTCGTGTAATTGGATTGCGTTTTGTAGGCGTTGAAAGCTCTTAACTCATGAAACACAAGCATCTCGTGCAGAAAATGAGCTTCAACTTAGCCGTCGTAGCTCTGGCCACGTTTTGGTTCTGCATGGCCCTCATGGCAAATGTGCTTTGCACGCCTCGTCCTAACTAGCATTGACCACACGGTGCGAAGCGTTCTACGTCTACGGTTTATTCTGTTTGGGGTCCCGCGCATATCTTTGAAAGGATGCTTTTTTTTTGAAAATTGTAGAAGCGCTCAGCAGGCGAAGTAAGATCATGTTGATGTGACTATGACGTCTACAGGTGTTGTGTCACTCCTAAAGCACAATTTCTCCCCAAATTCACGTACTTGTCACAACAAATACTTCCACAAAACCCTGCAAGTTATGAGCTTGTAGAAATTAACATTCTGACAGATGATTTGCATCTGCTCGGTGTCATGTCTGAAGCACGCGTCTTGTCAAAAAATAAACCTTGCGTATTTTTTAAGATGCTTCTTGACAGCTGCAAAAGCGCATAATAAGTTCTATGGTTGTAGTACCTCTCCAGTATCAATTTTTCTGTAGAACCTCTTGCAGTTCATAGCCTCCCGCGGCCGACTGCAAAAGAGCATTCTTGCCCTTGCCTCTTCTTGCGTACTCGAGCGCCGCTGCGACAGGGATTCTGGGAAACAGTGGGATTATCGAAATATTACTTTGTACCGGAGTCTGGCTGTTGGGATAATCGCTGGGAGTATGCAGAATTATCGGGATTCCGTCGCTTCTCGACTTGTCCTCTGAGTGCAAAAGGTGGTGGGAACAATCGTCTGCAACTGGAGCTAGCCGGAAACCGTCGCTACCGGATCGCTGGGCAACGAGCGGGAACACCACGGAAGGGAACACATCATTTGTTGCTTGTCAAGAGAGAGGGGAAACCGGAGCATCCTCAATCCTCAGCAAGTACCGCGATTTTCAGGACCGGGAGATATTTGGTTGGAGAGCGAGGTATTAGCTACCACCGCAACTTCCCGGTATCGTCTGCGATCCCTCTGATCCCCCAAAACCGATCAGGCCCCGTATGCTTTCTCCTCTGCAGCTATAGGGCTGTAGGCGATTAAGTATTACCTGGGGACAGTTGGGAACATCAGGACCGCGTCAAGGCCACTTCGCAACCTGCTACCTTCACTTGTTTATATCCCCTGCTGAGTTAGGAGCTTAGGTACTGGACTCCAACATCTTCGCGATCGCCAGGCTTAACAGGAGGGATTATCGGCCGTCAGCGAACACACAAAGTATGAGTCCACAGCCAGTGACATCAAGCTGTCGTTCCAAACCATGGTGCGGCAAATAATGATTGATGATAACTTGAACAAAGGACTACAGCTGCGGCGACGATAACAACACTAATCATGACTGTCATCATATCATGATAGTCTTGGATAACAGCTGTTTACTCGACCCAAGCGCTCTGCGGCATTTGCTCAGCTACTTGTAGAGCATCATGACCGACAACCTTCTCCAGCTCCAGGCGCTCGCAAAAAAACAGCCATGCAACTGTGACCGGACTTCCCTTCTCGAGGCGATTGGGCTGCGAATCGTGCAGTCGGTATCCCAGCAGATGTCAAACCCGTTTTGTGTACTATTCAGTGTCGCTTGCTGCCTGCGGCTGCAGAAGATGAGCCCTGCGTCATGCGAGTTTGAAAGCAGTATGCAGCCGAACGAACGGGGTGCTGGAGCTTCGACAGGATTGCCACAGATTGAGATCTGTCTGTTCTTGGCGAGTAGCTGTCTGCTGTGGCTTTTTGCATCGTCGGGCTGGCATAATTCGTTCAGTACGGGCCGAACCAAAACGGGGGGCAGGGTCTTCGTGGACATTAGGTCCATGTAGTTCGGCGAACGAAAGCCTGCGCCGCTTCAAATGATTCAAACCACAGAATTGACTGAGGCCTGGGAAGCTTTTTGGGGGAGGGACATGGAGGAACCAACAGTCAATTCTGCGAAACGCCCCGCCCAGCACAAAACGGGGTAATGGGGTGAGAGTCCGGGCTGGAAGTGCGAGAAAGTTTGGTACTCAGGCACAACACGCAACACGAACAGCCACTGTCTATTGAAACCGGCTGAGGTGACCTGGCCCGCGTGCAGGAGCGGCTGTGCAAGCTTCCATGTCAGGTGAAGGCGGCGTCATTGCGTTCGCTGCCATTGAAATGGGGGTTTTGCGACCAATGCGATCTTCTGCTCAGGCAGGTGGTCCTGCAGATCTAGCTTGGGCAGCAAGTGCCGCGAGGGCTGCAACGCAGTAATTGCAGCAAGTTTAGATTTCCGACGACAATGATTCGAGTGGAGGAGTAAAATCAGGAAGGAACATGCAGAGCAATGAGCCTACAAGCCCAGTATGTGTTGCACAACTCCAGGCTTAGGAACGGCCGCTCGGGATTTTCTGCATGGGAAAAAAGGTGCGAGGATAATGGTGATGGACTGCTTCTTCCATTAACACCATGCCTTGCCGGCGCCGGTGTGGGATCGATCATATGGGATCCGCTTCTTTTTTATATGACATGCTGATATGCTACATCCGCAGCCTGTGGAGCGCTTCAATGTTTTGCCGCTTGAATCCTACTTTCTGGACACCGCCGCCAGCAAGACACACTGGGGTTGTTTCGGTAGCTGCTTGGTCAGTGCCTCGGGGCAATCTCGTCAAGGAACACGATGATCACCTATGAAAAGCATTCGGATTGCGCCGAGGATTATCGCATTTTTGTTTGGGCTGAGCCTCATTGCGCGGGTGCGCGCCATTGCAGCAGAATTTGGAGCATGTGTATTAATTGTCCCAATAGCGCAAGAGCTGGAGCGCAGGCAGCCCGTCGAATTCTGATTTGGGCCTGCGTGCCAAGAGGCAAAGCCTTGCAAAGAACCTCCTGGCTGGCGGCAGAGAGGAGATTCTGCATCAAGGAGGGCAGGCAGGGCTTGTCACTCAGGCGGGACCTATGTCTGCTGAGGACGGATCGGCGCTTCGCACAGGTCTGCAAATGACGTGTTCATTTTAGTAAACCCTGGACCCGAGGCTGTCCCGCTGGCCGGCCTTGGAATCAGCATTTGAAGCTTCGCGGCAGCTTCCCCGGGAAGGAGCCTTTTGAGAGTTCTCCAACCACAATGCCTTCCAAGGCAAGAGTGGATGGCTTCTCATGGAGACCTGGCCACGTTTCTTTCACGCGGACCGGTGCCAGCCAGTGTTGCAGCCCTCAGAAACGCACGGAATGCAGCACCCAACATGCTTAAAATGAGCAAGACTACTGGCTTCTCTCGAGTTCGCAAAGAAACCAGCATCCAGGTGCCCGCCGCTTTGCTTGAGGGCCCCCTGGTCTGCCTGCAGGACCAGGGCAGCGACACTCTGAATCTGAACAATCTTTTGCTGCCTGCTTGAAGTCCAACCAACTGTCGATGTTTCATGCGCCAGGACTTTGCTGAGGCAGACTTACAAGATTTGGCGGTGGTCTCAGGCAATATTATCACAACTTATCACTTGTAGCGCATGAGGCTAAGGGTGTTCAACGATTTTCAGGTCTGGCAAAGCTTCCATTTCTTCAACACAAAGTTCTTTGGCAACCAGCTTTTCGCTGGGCCCTGAGTTTCATCGACGCACTGGGGAACTTGGATATGATATTTCCCACAACCAATGCAGCGCTGCTTCCGATGCTTGCCATGTTGTGTGTTCAGTGTAGACGTGGCAAGATGACCCCGTCCAGAGCATGTCCGTCCATTTAAGTTGCTGAGGTCGACGAAATTCGATTTCGCGGATCGGTTCCAGGTTCGTCCGCAGTGGTGATGCCACCTTTTTCAAGAATCAGCCAGGTTGTTCAGAAGCTTCTGAAGGGGCTGAGGACATGCAAGGGAGCTTTGCCGGATGGATGGTCCTTGGCATCCATGCTTGAGGCTGCAGTACTTTGCGAGTTCTCAGGCGACTTCACCGCGGCAAGGCAGGATACCTGATGCTGAGTCTGCTTCAATTCCAACAAGACGAAGTTTGACATGCTATAGGTTGTGGATCGAATTCATATGGCCATTTTGCAGAAAATGGCCGGTCACAAGGCCAGGGTCTGTGCAGCATATGGTAAGGGCAGATTGCGGTTGCCAGCCGATCGGCGCGCTAGCGACATTGCCCAGATTGCCTCACAGAGCGCAGGTGCATATAAGAAAAGCGCATGCAGATTTGCTGTTTCGACATTATGTTTAATGGTTTAACGCAATGGGCCTGGAGGTCGGAACCGCAGCTTGCTTATGTTTTCAAAAGAAAGCACAGAACTCAAAGAGCAGGCTTGCGGCGCCCCACTGCTTATAGGAGGCATTCTTGAACGCATATGATCGACCACATTCAAGCCCGCGAAAGACAAAAGCTGGCCACCGACCGGCAAATGCCAACGGCCTTTCTTATTTTTTTTGGTCTGGCAGTACAGTTTCCTGCTCACTTACTCTTGCTAGCTCACAGTGAATTGGCTGTTTGTTGCAGCGCTAACTTCGTGCAAACTGCCTCCTGCATCCCCTCACCCAGGAATGCCTTGTTGGGATTCGTTATCACATGCGCAGGTGCATCGTGCAAAAGAAATTCTCTTCAAGCATGTGGACTCATGCATACGCATTAGGAACTGGCCGTTGCCAGGATGGCATCAGTCCTCCTCCATGAGATGGTGCACGTGTCACAAGACTCGAGCTGGGCGAGGCCTCATGCCTCAATGAGCCTCAGTGAAGTAGGACAGTACATGTAGAGTCATGTGGAACGTAATCAATGTAGTCCTTACAGGTACCTCCTGTGACTCATGCGTGGATAGGAGAGAAGAGAAAAGGGACAGGAAGGTAGAACCCATTTCGAACGACATGTTGTTCTGGAGGTTGGCAAAGCTCTAGGTCTCATTCTAGCATGCCCAGGGTTGTTGATGCAGGCGATTTCGTAATTGCGCATACCTACCAGGTATGAGTACAAACGGTTTAATTCGTGTATCAAGGTTTCACAACAGTAAGTCAAAGCGTACAAAGCACAAACAATTGCAATGGCAGTTCTAGGAAGCCCTGCTTTCGGCCTGCTTCAGGTGGGATTCAGCTGCCACGGCGCATTCTTCCCACTTCCTCAGGACCGGGTGCATTTGCCAAGCTTCGGCAGAAGATGCTAGAGAAGCTCTTCAAGCGAGTGCGAGGATGTCTCGGTAGAGCTGCTATGAGCTGCTGCGTGCTCCTGTCAGTGAGTGGCCATTCTTCATGCTACTTTGTAAAGCTATTGGGCGCTACGACGAATAAGTTGGCTTTGCCAAGTTCTCAGTCAAAAGCAACTTCAATTTCTATATTTATCATACCAGAAGACCGTTGGATTTAAGAGAATTCGTCGCTCGTTCAACATTTTAGCATTCTCGCTCTTTCAACATTGGCATTCAGTCCTCTGTCAGAGGGTAAGGAATTAGCCCTCAATATAGTTGTGTACTCGGCACAACTTCTCAATTGGCTTGCATGTTGAATGAGGGATCAATCTTGTAGTGAAAGCTACGTGTGTTAGCCTTGCGGGACGGGCACTGCGTAAAATCACAGGCAACATCGGAATCAGAACCGAATGCTCCTTCTTGGTATCCCAACAATCTCTGGACCCGATGTCATTTCATCCTGCAAATTATGGGGTTCCAGGACAGAATCTGATGTCCTTGGCCTAGCATTTGCAGAGCTGGAATATGAAGAAATGCAATCGCGTCTCTCATCGCCGCAGCTGCGAGCAACTTAACTTTAATGTCTTGAGCGCAAGCTGAAGCAAATCTCTCACACACCATCAGGTGAGACAATTTCACAAACCAAGATGCCGATCTGTCGAACCACCATGGAGCCATTTCACGAGTCCACGGCCAAGCATCTAGGACTGCCCAGGCCGAAAAAACAAACCACCCATCCTGGATATTCCGATCATGATGCTCTGAGGTTTAGGCTTGTTCATATGCTTCAACACCCCGCTCCAAAACCTGCGTTGGCCACTGTGACTTATTGCATACTTTGAATCGGCTGAACTTGCCAGACGCCACATGGTCCAAAAGAAGGAAAAGGAACCATAATCTGCACGTGTTCAAGGAGTATCTATGTTCTTTCTGAAGCTGGATTGGTTGGAATACTTCAGGATTTCAATCTGCGGCCCCTTGGTCTTTGGTCTCGTGGTCCAGTGGCCCTCATCATCAGATCATCATACGTTTGCAAGTTTGGGGGGCCCTCCTGCTTCTTTGAAGCTGCGCGCGCTTGCCTCACAGAGCAGCATGTAGGCGGTGTGTGTGCAAAACATCATACATTTGCAAGTGGAGGGGCCTGATCCCCCCCAAGCTTCTGGCTTCTTTCAAGCCGTGCATGCTTGCCTCACTCTGTCTGCCAGACAGGACGGATCGTCAATCATCTTGTGTCTGCACATGCGTGGCCCCCACCCCAACCCCCCTGTTTTTTTCAAGCCTTGCGTGCTTGCCTTCATGATGCATTTGCAAGTGGAAAGGGCCTGCACTGTGCCCCAGCCCCATCGCTTCATTCAAGCCGCGCATGCTTGCCTCCAGCAGCATGTGGACACCCTGGCTTGCCAGAAACAACGGTGCTTCCAGGCATCGTTTGTTAGCAATTGGGGAGCTGCGCCGCCTCAGCCCCCCACCGCTTCCTCAAAGCTGTCAGTTTTGCTGCGCGAAAGCAGCTTGTTGGCACTGTGTGGTGCCCGCGACAGACCGCGGAGTTCAGGTCCAGCTTTATACAAACAACCGTTCTAGCAACATTACTGAAACTATTAGTGGAAGTTATAATGCTAATGATAATGATAGCTCAAACTGTAATAGCACCGATAACGGCAATACTAACACAAGACAACAATGCTAGAGTTCACGGCTATGGGAGCAATAGTGGAAGAAGAGCAATTATCGAGTTTCAAGCTCAGGGCTCTGGAATGGAGATAGCAGGTATCATGCAGGCTGTGGGTGCAGGGTTACGGGTTGGAATTCGTAAATTGCGCCGAGAGGGGCAACAACTTGTTCGAATGGCTTAACAAGTGGACTTGCAACGTGATATTTCCAGAAGATATCTTGAGTGCCATGGGGAAATGGATCTTCAGAATGGCTGCTTTGGGGGGACAAGGGATATGGTACATGGGTGGTTGTCAAAATTATGTTCCCTTTTTGGGTACCCTATTTGTTAGGTGCCGTATTACAATAGGGATCCAAAAAGGGACCATAATTTTGACAACCACCCACATGTGGAAGTGTGCTGTGAGAAAATCCATCGAGCTCTTCCATAAAAGACAAGCCTGTAAACTCATTGGCTATTAAAGATTTGATTGTGATTTCATATCGCGTTGGGCGTGACTTGTTCGGGTTCCCATCTTGAGTCCGAAATTCCATTTCTGTGCTTCCCAACATCCTGCAGAAACCTGCATTTGCCCTGTGCGATTTCTGACATTCCGCTTGGCGGTACCGCCGTTTGCGCTCCCGTCACCAGCTGCGAGCAGCCGATGGACTGTCGCAACTGTTGTCGTGTTCTTCGGCAAGCTCCCAGGGTTTGATGACCCACGCCCCAGAAGCTCCTCGAACCTTCAAGCGTTGACATTCTGACAGGAAGCACAGACTTGCACAGTGAACAGAGTTTACGTTAAAGTCACACTTGGAAGAAGACCAGAGAAGTTGATCCGAGAGGCTCTGCATGGCACCACCTGCCCGGAGAAGCCAGCTTGCATGATCCCTTCTTATTTGAGAAGATGGAAACCAAGAAGCGGCCTGTAATCAGGACAAAGTATGTGCGCACACATCATTGGGAGTGGAGTTCACCCCTGACCTACCACCCACGTTCGCAGAATAGCGCAGGGAGCAGAACGCTGCAGGAGGGTGCGGCCACCTTGGGCTGGCTGCGTGAGTTTAAAGGGTTGGGGTACCCATAGGAGCATACTTGCATAGAAGTGTACGCATGTAGTTTGCCCGTTCCATCTCTTTCCAGCGGTGTTGTCTCCTCCAGGATCTGTGCGGATTTGAACCAAGTCTGCCAGGATCAGGATGGGCCGGCTGCTGGTTCTGTGAAAGTACACCATTGCTTTGTCCTGCAGTCGTTCAGGACTTCCCGTTCTTCCCCAACGTGTTGACCGAATCGTGGGTCCTGCTAGGCTGGGAAAGCCTCCCTCTCTATCTGCAGCACACAGCATTGCTTCTATGCAAACCAAGAACAATGGTCTTGGGGCGACGGCCTCTCAAAGGATGTTATCCGCAACAAGCCCGCAACGTTTGGGTTCCTTGCAGGGTGTATGCCGGGCAGGGCCTCAACAGGCTTCGCATTCGGAGACGTACTCTCTGAATTCAGATGTCTACACATGCTTTACGAAGAATAGCATCACCAACAAAGATTTATCCCGCGTCGATTTCGCCAGACCGCCTGTGCGCTAAATGCAGGAACAATTCAGGTAAGCTGAACAGGCTGTATAAGCTTATGTGAACAGCATGGTGGCTTTTCAACCTTGAATCTGTCAGGAGTGAGCTAGGCGGTATCGACATTGGAACTGCATCAGACAAGCAAGCACTGACGCGCATTGCTCCGTGCTGCTCAAAAAGGCTTGAGCAAGGTATGATTGCAGGACCAGTGTCCTTGCCTTGACTCAGACATGCACCCACAGCAGAAGTCTTGCAAGGCGAATTGCGCGCCAGGATGACCGTATTTTCCGAGTTAACTTTGGGTCGAAGGACATGTACTGTAAAACCCTGCAGGGTGAGACGGAGCTCGACAGCAAACACATGCAGGAAGAAAGCACATGTCCATCACAAGAAGGTTGCTCGGCATTCTCATACCTAGAGAGTGACAAGTGCATATCAAGAGCCTTAACCTAGCAAATGAAGCTCCTGCTTGCAGTTGACCATGATCTTGGAATGCTGGGACCACATCCGGATCTGCAACATCGTTGGTGTGCATTCTTGGCTGAGTGCGGGCACTTCGAAGGCCGGTCACAAAGGCCGAAGGCAAAGGCGGAAGGTTTCTTAACGATGTGCTGCCCGACCAGGAAGCTTGCTTCAAGACCTTCAGGAGGTGGGACTCAGTCTGACGGACGCCTTTGTGAGACTGGCAAGGTTAATTTTTTGTGAGCTAGAAGGGATCGCAGGCCATCAAGTCTAGGATGCCAGGCTGCCAAGACAGTCCTCAATGCTGGTCATATACAGCAGGCAATTCGCATGGGCACGCTACTCAGTTTTCATCCTGCGTGGCAGAAGCACTGCAATGATCATTGTAACTTGGGTCCCTGAATGGAAAATGAGCCGTCGCGAGACTGCTCTGTCCAACTTGTTGGATGAGAGTGGCACAAGGTGGAATTAAAAAGCCTCGGCCCAAGCTCCATGGCATTTTGGGTTAAACATTCTTACATCTCCAGCTTGCAGCAAGCAAGGAATCTTGGCAAGGGCCACGCAGACCGTTTGCACAGACAGAAGGAGGCCCCTTGAAGACTAACTAGCCCCCGGAGCATAAACAGCCTTGAGCCTGCGTACTGTGTTGAGGAGTAAATTGTCGCATTTTGCCTCCGCGGTGTCGCGAAATTGTTAGACCTCCTGGCGCGCATAAACTGTTCGGGTTATTGGTTATTTTGCCATGGTGTCGTTACAACAGCTAGCGCTAGGGTGGAATTTGGCGGGCTTGAGAAGCTTGTGAAAGCTATGTTTGACTTGGTAAAGACTGCCGAGTACGTTTAAGCAAAGCAGTGACAGTTTTGGAGCGTACAGCCCTTGCATGAGAGCCCGCTGCCCAAGGTTACGAGAGGCTGCAGGCATGGCGACGATTCGTTGCTCAGGCACGTTTCTGGTGGAGCCTCTGGAGCGTGCGTGATCGAAGCAAAATCCGAACTGGGCTTGGATCCCATTGGTGAGATCGCAGAGATTCTGCACGGCCAAAGTTGCGTTGGAGACGTTGGAAATGGGGCAACAAGCACATGCCAGTCATGTGCTAGCAAAATGCATGTCTGGTTGTTTGCAGCTTGAACGGGGGACTAGAGTCATGTGGCAGCCACATGGCTCAAGTCACCCCCTTTTGAATTCCCCACGCACCCTCCCTGAGACAGGGCGTCTCCTCACAGGGTTGGCTTCGCTGGACTTTCCAGTGCCTGGCTGGGCGTCAATGCATTCGTTGCCTACACTTCGCGTGCTAGATTCTGACTGCATACTATGGAGCCATCATCTTCCACGTTGCGAGTCCCCTGTCCATCTTCTTCACTCCCCATCACTTCCACGACTGCATGTTGCAGTTTGTAGCAAGGGTGGGGTGCCATTCTGAGTTGGTGCTGGGGAGGGTTATGTATGTAACGTCAAAGTCTTGATGTTTGACATATTGTGGTTGCTCTGAGGAGCTCAGGCAATCAATCAATCAATCAATCAATCATCATACCAGACAGCCGAAAATGCCGCTTGTGGTGGATGGAGTATTGTGCAAGAGCCAGCCGGAGGCGTGCATGCAGCGCATTGCAAGCTTTGCACCATCCAGTGCTCTCGGTGTGGTGGTACGAGGGGACTATGTGCAGAGCTCAGCAGTTGCACTTTGCTCTGATCGAAATGCCACGCGGGCCATGCATCCTGATTCTGAAATATATAAGCTAGGATGGCCAAGCACGAGACGCAAAGTGTAGCGAGTCATCATAGCTTGTCCTTGGACCTGCTCAGGTGGTGGCGCCACAAGCTTTTCTTGACGAGCTGGCAGCACGCTTTGGAGTGAGTGCTTCGGTGTGCACACCCATGGCTTGCCAGCAAAAGAGTCGCCGATACATTTTGATTACTGTACTATGCTCGTCCAATCCTTGGCCACAGTATAAAGTCAGGCCGCGCAAAACATACTGTGATATGCGCCTTCTCATGCTGCAATGGGCTCAGATTGGTTGTTAAGTTGATGTTGCACAACGAAGCTGCGCGGCATGGGCGCAGCGCTTGGCCCGTGTTTACGATGAAAACAAGTCCATTACACCAGTCTAGACCGGCCAATCCTGTCCAGGCATCGAAGAAATTCGAGTTGTGCCAGTATGCGGACTCTGCACTTGCTTGGGTCTGGTGATCTTCACATGCGTCGCAGTGCCCATGCCTCAGGGTGTGCGCGCTGGCGTATGCGGAGGGACGTTTGGGAGCAGTCCTGAGGCCAATGTCCATCAAGTCGATGGAGCAAGGCAGAACCTCTGTGCAATTGCAGTGGATGACACAGGAAATCCTTGACGAGGCACGGGTGGAGCAAGATAGTTTACGAGGGTCCAGGTGCACTGATTAATTGTCGGATCCCCTTCAGGTTCCCCTTATGGAATGGGCGGGGTTGACCCCCCGTTATGCAATGGACTATAGGTCAAACATTCCATGCCAAGAGTTGACGTTACCCCCCCCCCATGTCTTTTGCGGAAAAGGTCCAGCCACCCCTTTATAGAAGATAAATATTCTGCAGAAAATGGGCGGGGAGGGGACCGTCACTGTGACGCTTTCAGGGGGCGGGTATTTCCACCAATGGATCAGAGAGGGGATGTGGTACCCTGTATTTCCCCAATAACAAGAGCTTCCGACACAGGGTTATAAGATGCACGAAGCCGAATGCAGACACATGACACATACATCGCAAATACAAAAAAAACACCCCACGCGCGACACTTAGGTCCGGGGTCATCCTCTCTTCTCTCCTCTATGTTCTCTCCTATCTCCTCTCCTTTCTCTTCTCCTCTCTCTTCTCCCTCCTCTCTTATCTCCTCACTCCTCTCCTCTCCTCTCCTCTCCTCTCCTCTCCTCTCCTCTCCTCTCTCCAGAGGCAAGTCCAAAAGTGACCACAGTTCTGCGTTTCGCGACCACGACCCCCCCGCTCCGTGTGACGGTTGACGTCCAAAAGTGACGACAGTTCTGCGTTTCGCGATGATTTTGAGCAAATCGTGCGCGACACTCGTGGACGATTGCGGACGCTTTGCGAATGCTTTGCGAACACAAACGGAACGACTCCTGGACCTCTTGACCCCAACCTTAAAGCGGGAACCCTTCTGCTGAGCATTCGGGAAAAATAATCCAAAGATATGAACGGCTGAAGAAATAGTAAAAGAAAGCATGCCCCTTCACAGAAAAATACAATGTATATATATATATGAGCATGTATAATCGTTCTCTATCATGCTTCATGCTTTTACTCTAGACGGCCCTCGCGCTGGTGCTTGGTACCATGTCCCCGTGGCTGCGTCCTGGGAGG